CTTAGCCGGTCTCGCCGACTAGCCTCTCCTTGCGCTATGATTTTTGGCCCGTGTGCCCATTCGGCAGGGACGGGGGTCGGTTCGGGTACCCATTGCGACTCTGGGAGGTACGCATTGCGCCGCTCAACGAAACCAAAGTGAGCGTCCAAGGGTCCTGCGTCCTTACAGCGCCTCCTTACCATTAGTTTTGATTGTATCTGGTGGGGTCGTCTGTGATATACATGAACCATTCACGATCGGATTTCCGCTGGCTCTGAGGCCTTGGGCTCCTTATTGAAGGGTTCCTTTTGCAATGCTCTCCTGGTACGCAACCGTGGGAGGAGGGGGAGGAGGAGGAGGAGGAGGAGGAGGAGGAGGAGGAGGAGGAGGAGGAGGAGGGGGAGGAGGAGGAGGAGGAGGAGGAGGAGGAGGAGGAAGATGAGGAGGAGGAGGAGGAGGAGGAGGAGGAGGAGGGGGACGTAATGAACATGTGTGGGTTGCAGACGTTGCGAGTCGGCTCGGCGCATGTTCGCCCACCTTCTGGCGAACGTGTTGCGCCAGACCTTCGGTTCGGATAGACGTGCTGAGCTCGGTGTCAACCAGCTACGGTCAGGTCGGGCCTGTCCCTCTACAGGGGGAATACCCAACAATAGTCAAAAACTAATGCGAGGACGTCGTTTTGAGTATGTTTTTCTGCCATGTTTGATTTTATTGGGGGGTATGTTCAATTTATCGTCCAAAATCCTTCTGTAGGGCGACGGGCTGCGTGTTGCGCAACGGGTTGCGTGTCGCGCAACGGGGTGGCTCAGCACCGCGCCTCTCTCCCACGCTCTGCTCCGAGCAGTGCAGGTCTCTCCCCGCCTGGCGGCGCGCTCCCCCCGCACAGGGTCATGCCAGCGCCGCCGCAGCATCCCGCCATTGTCCAGCAGGCGTCGCCGAGGGCCCACAGGAGGAGGAGGAGATGGATCGAGGAACGAGGAGAAGGAGGAGGAGGAACGGGGATAATCGAGGAGGAGGAGGATCGAGAAAGAGGAACGAAAAGGAGGAGGAGGAGGAGGAGGAGGAGGATTGAGGAGGATCGAGGAGGAGGATCCAGGTGGATGAGGAGAACCGAGGAGGATGGAGGATAATGATCGGATCGGGGAGGAGGAGGAGGAGGAGGAGGAGGCGGAGGAGGAGGATTAAAGAGGAGGAGGAGAAAGGGGGTAATCGAGGAAGTAAGGCGCGTCGAGGTGGGCGAAGGCCGGATTGAGGCCAGAGGGCGAGCGAGCGGGCGCGTGGGTGGCGCGCGTGTTCGGTCGGGCCGCGGGTCGGCGCGGGGGGTGGGGCTCCTTCGCGCTGCGAGCAGCCTGAGCCGTCGCCGCTGGACGGCTGACCGCACTGCTCGCCGTCACGGCGGCGGCCGCGGCCCCGGCCAGAGGGGAGCGCGCCCCCGGCCTCAGCAGGGCGCATTTCGATTCCTCCGATTCGGTTCGACTCGATGCCTTCCGGTGGCTTCCGATCCCGATTCGATTCGACTTCGCATGCCGACTTGGGCTCCGAATTTCTCGATGGAGGCCCACGAGCCTGCCGATTCCCGCCGATTCGGCTTCTCAGGGGTGGACAGACCTCGTACTTTAACACGTCGATTTGTGGGTTGTCCGTTTTCGGTTCTCGAGAGGGCGCCGCGGCCGTCATTTTCTGGGCTTGCGCCCGCCAGGTTTGGGCCCGAGGTCGTTTTCGCCAGACCACGTTTTACTAAAGGGAGCTCTGTCCATTTCCGAGCTTCTCCCCACTCGGCTGCCGAGGACGAGGAGGAGGAAGACGAGGAGGAAGAGGAGGAAGAGGAGGGAGATGAGGAGGAGGAGGAGGAGGAGGAGGAGGAGGAGGAGGAGGAGGAGGAGGAGGAGCGGGAGGAGGACGAGGAGGAGGAGGAGGAGGAGGAGGAGGAGGAGGACGAGGAGGAAGAGGAGGAGGAGGACGATGACTGCCCCCGATCCGGTGTGCTTCCGTTGCCCATCAGACTTCTCGATTCGGTTCCGGGCGCTCTCCGGCCTCGGAGCCGCATCCATCGGCCGCGTGGCCCCCATGCGCCACCCGCGGGCAGGGCCTGCTTGCGCGGGGGTGGGGTGATGGGCCTGTTTTCCACCACCGAGGAGGACGAGGAGGAGAAGGGGGAGGAGGCGGTGGAGGAGGACGAGGAGGAGGAGGAGGAGGTGGAGGAGGAGGGGGAGGAGGAGGAGGAGGAGGAGGAGGAGGAGAAGGGGGGAGGAGGAGGGGGAGGAGGAGGAGGAGGAGGAGGAGGAGGAGGAGGAGGAGGGGGAGGAGGAGGAGGAGGGGAGGAGGAGGGGGAGGGGGGGAGGCGGTGGAGGAGGAGCTGGAGGAGGAGCAGGAGGACCCCCTCCCCCTCCAACTCATGGTGGTGGTGGTGGTGGTGGACGGAGAAGTTGCGCGGTGGGCGCGCCGCGGGCCCGCGGGCCCGCGGCGCCACGGGCGCGGGCTCGCCCCCGCTGGTCGCGGAGCAGGAGCCGCAGCGGGGGGCGCGCGGAGCGGGGGGCTCCGCACTGGCAGGCTTAGGTGTACGTCGGGCCTGTCCCTCTACAGGCGGGCTATACAACATTACACCTTAGGCGATGCTTAAGAAAACTTACATGTTCGGCCAGAGTCTCGATTATTCTTAATGTTTCAATGTAACTCCTAAGATTTGAACAGAATTTTTGGGTTGTTATTCAAGTTCTGAGACTATGAATTTCTTAACCCATGATTTCTTAAGCATTTCGCAGGGTGTAGTCCAAAGAATGTCTGGAGACGTGTTGTTGCTTACCTCCTGTTTTTAGAGCATGCTCGGGGTACTTGTTGCTTGTCGTCCAAAATCAGCCTGTAGGGGAACGTGCCCGAGCTAAGCTCCAGTCGGGCACGTCCCGGTGAAAGGGGAGTATTCAAAACTAGTAAAAGAATAGTCTGGGGACGATCATTCGACTACGTTTGGCCATTGCATCATCTGTTTTGAAAACTTTGTCTTTCTTCTTCCAGGATCCGCATGTAGGATGACATACCAGACCTAATGGTAGGCCGAGGCATGCTTCTTGCGGGTGCGAGGCGCGGGGGGATCTTACGTGGCGGTTTCTTAAACATCTGAGGCGCGGGGGTGATCCTACTTGGCTGTGGTTCGAGCAGTGACGAAGCGCCCTGGCTTGCCTAGAGGCCCACCAACAAGATTGTTCTAAGAATCGGTTCTCGAGCGCGCAAGACCACTGGATGCTGCCTCATAGTGCCGCTGTGGAGACCGTCAGAGGCCGCCGAAGGCCGTTGTGCAACAGCCGAGGGGAGGAGAAGCGACACCAACACCACCAGGGGGGCCCACCTCCAACGAGAAGGTCCACGAGGCCTCCCCGAGCTGGAGGCTGGGAATTGTCTCGAGCGAGAGGGGGGGACCACACCACCAGGGAGACCCCCCCTTGCCTCCTCGCACCTCCTCGCCCTGGTCGCACTGGTGCCGCCTTTCCCGGTTCCGGCCGCGCGCCACGGCGGCGGCGCGGAGGCCGGGCGCGCCACCCTGCGCGCGCCTGCGGGCCCAGCCCGGGCCGCCAGATGAATCAGTTGAATTCGGTGCGTCTCTTGAACGAAGGATTGCAAAAACAAAAACCCTTGAACGAAGGGTATTTTTGCAATCAATCGAACGAGGGTTTTTTTCACAATCTCTTGAACGAAGGGTTTTGTTGCAATCCTTCCCTCCCCCCTCTTCCTCTCTCTCTCTCCTCGGCCGCGGGGCGCCCTGTTCGCGCGACAAGAGACACGGGGGGCGTCCTCCCCCTTGCTCCTGCAACAGGGGGGGGGGGGGCGCAGGGTCGAGAGCGCGGCTCTTCTCCCCCCCTGCCCCTCCCCCCCCGCAGCCGTTTCTGCCCAGGGGGGTCCGGCCTTGGGCGGGGCGCGCCGCGCGCATGCCGCCCGCACGCAGGCGCCGGGCATGCTGGACTTCTGCACCGCGGACCCGGAGACGCAGCCCCTCCTGAGGGACGAGGCGCCACCATGGGGCAAGGCTTAGGGGCGTGCACGGCGCCTGAAGTGCGGTGCGCGGCGGCAGAAGTGCGATGGGTGTGTGTGTGTGTGTTGATCCTGGTGCTGGCCCGATGCCCTCACGGACGTCCTGGCTCGAGAGTCAGGGTGGACAGATGGTGTCGGAAGCCCCTATATCGGTGATCTGTTTCACGACATTGCGAGTTGCTTCGCGACGTCGGGTTTCGGGGGGATGTGGTCTGGCTGGCCATTCACTGGGTGCTGTGGGTCGATCTGGACACCTGCCTCCAGGGTTCTGGTGTTCCTCGGCGGCGTTCCTTCGGCGCTCCAGGGTCCTCCTCTGGCGGCGTTCCTTCGGCGCTCCAGGGTTCTGGTGTTGAGACCACTCCTGGACGACCCTGCGGGCCTTTCGGGACCTGCTCGGACTGCCTACGGCGCCAGGGATTGTCTGCGCGCTGCCTCAAGCCGTGCCTCCGCTTATGGTGTCCCCATCCTACTTGAGGACCGCATCCCAAGCAAAGAATTCCGAGCACCACGAAAAGTGTCGAACGAGTGCCAAAAGAGTGTCGACACAGTGTCTCCCAGGGCCCGACACGTGTGAAACCTTGATTTTCGGTACTTTTTTTTCTGGTGCTCGAAATTCTTCCTCGCGATCAAGGCTAGAGTAGGTTGGAGCATCATAAGCCTCCGCCAGAGTTGTGCCCCTCAGAGTTCTGGCCCGGCCCCAAATGCGGCACGGCGCGGCCCCCGTCGGCTCTGTGGGATGTGGCGGACGATGCGTTCCTCGAGCTCGTCAGGTGTCGCGCGTTCGTCCGCGTGACACGGATCGACCCGCAGGAGGGCGTCTTCGAGGTGCGCATGAAGTGCCTCTGGTCCTTCCGGACCAGGAACTCGGGGGAGCAGGCAGAGATCACGATGCGCGGAGTGCCCGGCATCCGCATGCCAGGCCTCCGCGTCACAGTGGAGGAAAGCAGGATCTGGAAAGATCTCAATTTCGACAACAGCGAGGCCATGGGGCTGTCGCGGAGCGGCCCGTCCAAGAATACACTGTTCTGGAGGGGAACGTCGATATTCACCATGAGCGGTTGGAAGGCATTCGACTTGATAAACTTTCCATTCGACAGGCACATACTGAACCTTGAGCGGGTTGAGTTCGTCTGGCGTTCTGACAAGGACTCTGCCGACTACCACAAGTCGCTGAAGGTGGTCCAGTTCACCACCGAGACATCGTCCATGCTGCCAGAGTGGGAGACCTACCACGCACTGGTTGCCGGCACCGCGCAGAGGGGGTTTGGGGGGGGGGCCTTTGAAGAAGGCATGGTGTTTCTGAGAGGCCATCCCATATGTTATGGAACTGTCTCTTTCTCCGCCTCCTCTTCCTCCTCCGCCTTCTCTTCCTCGTCGTCCTCCTCTAGCAAGCGCGCTGCCCTCCCAGAAGAGCGCGATCCCGTCGCCCCGCTGCCCCTGTGCGCGTCGATAGAAGGTTGAGCCTCTGGTCGTGCACGATACCAAGCTGGAGCGCACGATAGACCACGTTGGGGCGATGAAGATTCCAACCTACGCGACCAAGTTTTCGGTTCGCCTCCGCATCGAGCGCAAGTGCAGGTTCTATTCATGGCAGGTGTTCTTCGTCGTGTATCTGATCACCATGCTGTCTTGCTTCCCGCTCGGCATGCCGCCACAGGAGAACTTTCTGGGTGACCGGCTGAACATGTATGCAGCGGGGGTGCTCACGCTGGTGGCCTACAAGACCGGCATCAACGACCATCTCCCAAACGTCCCGTACCAGACCTTCACCGATTGGTATCTTCTTGCTGCGATTATGACTCTCTTCTTCGCTGCGGTAGGCACGCTGTATCCGTACAGGCTGAGTCAGGTCGTTGACGACAAGGAGGAGTACGACATGAGGTACCAGATCCTGGATTGCGCCGAGAACGTCACCGCCGGGCTGCTGTTTGTGGTGTGGACTCTGGTCGTCGTCTGGGTCTTCTTCGTGAAGCCAGGCCGCAGGACGCCCTGGGACAGCATCATGCAAGCCGATACCGATGCCTTCGGGAGGGACGATGCGCACTCTCTCGAGGAGGACGAGGAGGAGCCGCGAGCTCTTCATCATCTCGACGGCTCCAGCGTGACCAAGGACTTCCAGCACCTGATGCAGACGCGCGCCCTGGTCCCCAAACTGCGCCGTCAGAAGCCCCTTCTGGAGATCCAGCAAACAACAGCATCTGGCGGCATGTGCATAAACATTCCGTGGCCCGCGTGGTGTTCTTCACAGAGCGCGTTCCATTACTCGCAAAGTGCCTACTCGCAAACGCCCGGAAAATACATGTCTGCTCCGATGCAATGTATCATAGATCCTCCGTGGCGGATCCAGGCAATTTGCGAGTAGCTACTTTGCGAGTAGTGGAACGCGCTCGTCTAGTCCTTGAGACAGCGCTGGGCCCCTCTCCCTGGTGCGCGAAGCGCGCCGGGGGCGAAAGTGGAGTCGCCGCCAGGGGTGCGGGGGGAAGGAGGTCGGAAGCGATCCAAGAAATTTGCGCGTGGACCGCCGAAAGTTCATGCGTACCCATCGGTCGTTGATGAAAGTAGGTATTCGTAAATGCCCAGAGTCCAGTCTACTTTAGGCGCCTTCCTACTTCAATGATCGAGTGGCTCCAACTTTTCCGTCCTCCTGAGAGGGGGCGGGCGCACACCCAATTCTACTTCTCGCGCCTTCCTGCCTTCGTGTCCCGACCTGCTTCGTCCGACCGACGGGTACCTTTTCCGGGGTCTCCCAGGAGTGGGACAGAGACGAAGTAGCGCACTTCCTCAGGATCCGCCAGGGAAAGCAGCCGTTCGGGCCGGACGAAAGGGGGGATAGGGAAAGGGGGGGGGCACGAAATTTGCCGCGTGCAGCTGGTTTCGGCCCCGCCGCCGGGCCCATTCCTCGATACATGGGCGCCGGGAGGCGCCGGGAAAATCAGCTACGTGAGCTGATTCTCACCCCCCCCCTGTTCCTATCCCCCCCTTTCGCCCGGCCCGAGATTCGGTTCCGGGCCCCCCGGCCTCGGAGCCGCATCCCTCGCCCGCGCGGCCCCCCTGCGCCACCCGCGAGCAGGGCCTGCCTGCGCGGGGGTGGAGTGGTGGGCCTGTTTTCCACCACCGAGGAGGACGAGGAGGAGAAGGGGGAGGAGGCGGTGGAGGAGGACGAGGAGGAGGAGGAGGAGGTGGAGGAGGAGGGGGAGGAGGAGGAGAAGGAGGAGGAGGAGGAGGAGGAAGAGGAGGAGGAGGAGGAGGAGGAGGGGGAGGGGGAGGAGCAGGAGGAGGAGGGGGTGGGGCGGTGGGCCTTTGCTATCCCCCCCCTTTCGCCCGGCCCGGACCGTGCTCCGCCGCGCCGCCCCAGGGTAGTGCAGAGGGCCCTCCGAGGATGTCTCGGGCGACGGGGGCCTCCGGGGTCCCGAGACCGTGCGGCGACGGACCGTGCGGTGAGGTCTTGGGTTTCGTCGGGCTTGTCCTCTACAGGGCTGTTTTCGACGAGAAGTCAAACATACCCCAAACATGCCCGAAAAAAGGTCGAACCATATTCGAAAAATAGTCCCCAGACTATTTTTGGATGACTCTTTATAATTTTGGGGGTGTTTGTCATTCTTCGTCGAGGCCCGACGGCCCGGGGGATCTCGAGGTCACCGCACGGCCTGTCGCCGCACCGCTTCAGGACCTCAAAGAGGCAGCGCACCTCCTCAGGATCCGCAGGGGAAGCAGGCCGCTGTTGGTTTGGGACAACATTTGTTGTTGGGCAGTGTGCCCACTTTTTCTGTGCCCATTTCGGGCGTCCAAACCGATGTTCTCCACGCCGACGTCGCCGATGCATCGCCTTTGCTATCTCCCGGCCCAAGCCTTTCGCCCGGCCCGAGCCGTGCACCTCCGCGCCGCTCCCAGGGATGGTGAGCAGAGGGCCCTCCCCGGACCTCGACTGGCGGGGCGCACGCGGCGAGCAGAGGCCTGCGTCATAGAAGTCGGGCCGGTGCCTCCGCAGGAGGAATCCTCTGGAGCGCCTAATAATCGACCCCCCCTTGGATCGCTCAATAATCGACCCCCCCTCTGGATCGCTTAATAATCGACCCCTCCTTGGAGTATTCAAAATTGGTCCCAAAAAATACTCTGGGGACGATGTTTGGATCGTTTCTGTCTAAATTTGCACAGTTCGAGATCTTTGGCAGTTCGAGATCGAGGAATCAACGGGATCGCTTAGTAATCGACCCCCCCTTGGAGAGCCCAGGGGGGGGTTGGCCGCGGCGCGTCCGCGGGGGTGCCAAGGGGGGGGGTCCCGGGTTCGATCCCTTCCCCGCTGGGGCGCGACGGTGGTGCCGGCGGGGGGGTTGGCCGCGCCGCGTTTTCACGTTTGTCCCCCCCGGTTGATTGATAAGAAATTCGGAGCATTCAAGAATGGTCTAACAAAATATCATGGGGACGATGTTTGGATCGTTTCTGTCTAAACTTGCACACTTCGAGATCTTGGTTAGCTTCGTCCAAAAACTCCGCCTGTGGGGGGACACGCCCGACCCTAAGGTTCGAGAGCCACCTCGGTTTGGGACGTGGGGCCCTCGTGTTCGTCCTGCACTGCACCTCCACCCTGAGCTGTTGCCGAGCACTACCAGCCTCGAACTTATCCCTACCCCCGAGATTGACACGCCAAAAGGCGATGACAGTCTTAGGGGTGCGCCCTCAGAAGAGAAGGGGATCCTTAAGATTGGCATCGTGATGAGGAGATGCCTACAGCACAGGGATGGGGATATATGCTCCGGACTGCTGAGGCGGTGGGGGCGTCTCCACGGCCCTGGGCCCTCGGCGGTGGCGCTCGTGCGCCCTGCCGGTGCCCAGAGGCCGGCCCTGGCCAGGCCACGGTGGCGTGCCGCAGCCGCCGTGTCCAAGCTGCCGCTGGACCGCCCCACCGCCTGACCAGCCTGGAGCATATATCCCCATCCCTATGCTGTGGGCATCTCCTCATCACGATGCCAATCTGAGGGATTCCCTTATCCACTGAGGGCGCATCCCTAAGACTGTCATCGCCTTCTGGCGTGTCCATCTTAGGGATGGGGATTACTTCGAGGCTGGTAACCCCACCCCCTCCACACCCGCGTCACCCGAAGGAGAACAGGCTGCACAAGCAGAAACTTTTGGCGCTCCGCTCGGCCTTCTTGGATCCGCGCTGGGGCTCCCCGGCGGCGCCTTCGGCGCCGCCCCTCCGCGCGCTCCGCGCGCCAGGGAGAGGGGCCCAGCGCAGGTCCAAGAAATCCGCGCGGAGCGCCAAACGTTTATGTTGATGCATTAGTTGTTCTTCTAGTCTAGTCACACATCAACCACCAGAAGTGTTTTGGGCCGGTTTTGCCCCGAGTTTTGAGGAGAAGCAGTGGCGACGAGCAGTCCCGCGGAGGGCTCCAGGGCGCCAGCAATACCTTAGGAATCGTCGTGTTTCGAGCCTCGAGCTCGCAGCCCTGCGCAAACCGAGGACGCTCCAGCTCGGGCACTGCGTCGAGAAGCTCGCGGAGGAGGTCGATGGCTGCACGCTCGCCGCCCTGTCGGAGCAGCAGCTCCTGGACCGGGGGTTCACGGCCCTGCAGGCGAAGAAAGTGGCCACGCGCGTTCGGGAGGAGCGGCCTGCCACAAACGGGGGTGGGCGGGCATGGCTCTTGCCCTTCGGTCGGCCCCTGCATGTCAGTGTCGGCCCTGGCCCGGGCTGCTGCAGCTCTGCATTGTCTTCCCTGTGGGTTCATCTGGGGCGCTCCAAAAAGGGCCTCGCCTTCGAGGATAGAAGGAATTGCCATCTCTTCCGCGGCGGAAGGCGGCGGAAGGGCGGCGGAAGTAAAACGAGGCCGCCTCCGCCGGCGGAAGCCGGCGGAAGGGCGACGAAGCCTCGGCGGCTCAAGGATTCGTTGACCTCCACGGGGGAGCGGGGGGTCGCGAAGTCCCTCCGGGCTGCACACCAGGCTCGTGCCTAGCCACGCTTGCCATGAGCGATGCCCGTGGACAGGCTGGGCGCTGCTAGCGGCTGCCACGCCCGCGAGATGAGCGTGCAGAGGCCGCTCGGCCTGTGCGAACAGCGAGCTCGAGACCTACGTGTCCCAGGTGTTGCTGGAATTTGTGCTTATGGGCGGCAGAAGGGCCTGGAGAAGGGCCGTGTGGCTAGCGGAGGTGACTGGAAGCAGTTGATATCGTGGACACCTGCTTACACGCCCCAATGGTTGCCAACATCGCTAAGCATGATGCGACGACCTTCCCTTTTGTGGCCAAAACTTTTTTCGTGCACGCCGAGGCCCACCCGACTGAACAAAATAAAGCTGAACCACACCATGAAACTATGGAGTTGCCACAGTGAGTGTGTAATATCGGCTGAGCGCATGGGAGGACTATTGCGGCTTGCTCGAGGCCAGAAGGTCGCCATCGATTGCTTCCAGGCCGCTCTCATGGGAGGTACTACGCCTTGGACCAACGCAGGATTTCCAATCTACCCCACGCCACGAACATCGGTTTCTCTTATTCTTCAACCCGCTTGAAGTTCGATGCGTCCCCACATTACTCCCATGACGATTGCTGGGATTCAGAGTTCGAAGAGGTGGAGCCCGACAGCCGCGACCTTCACATTTTGAACGAGTACGCACCCACCAGCACTGCTTCACGCCACGCTTCAGCGGCATAGCGAGAACGAGTGCAGACAGAGCGCCGACAGGCGCAGGACACATTTTGGCAAACGTGCGACAATACTGTTCGACGGATGCCGCAGAATTCATAACTGATATGGTGTTTGGGTGCCACTGGAGCCGGGGGCCCTGAATTGCCCAACGTCGGGCATGCAGGATTCGACCGCCATCCCCGCAATAGTAACCACAACGGTGGCCACGTTCTTTCGATCCTCCAGAATATGTACAGGCATGACGGCGTTGAACACCCACGGCCGTAGGAAGAAACGCGTCGGAACTTGGCTCCGCACAGATGGAACAACGTGGAATCGCATCGGCTACTTATGCACACGGCTGAAACGTAGATATGGCCATGGCGTCAAAGTTCTTCGGTCCTTTCCAGTTAGGAGGATTCCGTGACCACCGCCCAAGTGATGCCAGCATTTCAGTTCGGCTTCGTTGCAAACATTATCGGCAAGACCGCCCCGTCTGGTTGAATCGCGAGTTGTTGTTGCGTGACTTTCGGGCTGTACATACCGCGGGCGAGGCCCCAGATTGCGTCAGGGACTTCCGCAGTCGACTCCTCCACGATATACGGACCCGAGGACTTCACGGGAACTGGCAATCAACATGTGGCTCTGATGCGCAGTGTTCGACGACATCCAGTCAGTAGATCTCTCCCGAGGCCGCAGTGGTTGACGCAGCTTTTCTTAGATACGTGGACAATACCAAAGCGACCCCACAAAGGGACATTAACGAGGTCACCTTGACACTGGCCGGCCGGAAACCATATGTTCAGAAATTGCTTCTTGAAAATTGAAGCCACACTCGTGGCTATACATGTCGATCCTATCGGAGTTCCGCAAAGCAGCGAAGCTGGCCAGGCATGCGGTACGTTCGGAGGAACGACAACGTATCGCTGCCCTTGTTGCCGACGCAGAACGCGCAGACGCAGCGCGCGATATCCGACGCTGCTATCCCATCGCCAAGCGGCCAGCCCGAAAGCGCAATATGCCCATTTTGACGGTCCGCAGCCCAGCCACGGGCAGCCCGTGCTTTGATGACCCCCAGGAACAGCAGGTCAGGACCGAAGCGTCACGCGCAAGTTTCGAGGCCACAGAGTTGCCCACAACGCGGACGGAAGCCCCCAGGACATCCTAGTGGACCCCGACACGGAGGTCTCTGGCAGGCACGACGTAGAATATGCCACAAAGGCTCTCGACAGGCCACCCCGCTTCCAGAACGCCCCCGCACTCGAGCGGACGGACCCCTTGACTCCAACAGCCCCCGCCAGGACCCTGAAAGGCGCCGTGGCTGAACTGTGGAATCTGAGTGCCGACCTCGTGGGGAGATTTTGTCGGTGTTTCCCTGGCCGTTTGAGCTTGTCGTCGAGCCCTCCAGAGGTTTCAACTGTTGAGACGTTTTCGATGCAAAAACCGAAGGGTGGCGGGAAGAACGCCAAGGGCCAGTGTAGGGCCATCAATCCCGTCGGCGCGCATCGGAAAGGCCTTCGCGAACGTGACCATCATGCCGGAGCTTCATGCGATGTCGCGGCGTTTTTCAACCGCGCAGTTCGGAGCCTGTCAGGGTCAATCGACACTCGATGCGATTGTCCCCGTCGATGAGATAGGGCGCCGATTTCGTGCGCGACCCCCCCCCCTTCCCTCGCTCTCCCGAGCGCCTCCCGCCTTTGGCCCCCGCCCTCCTCCGACCCTCCCCGCGCCCCCGCGTCCCTTTCCCCGTTGCTTCCCCCGCCGTCCCCGGGCCCCCCTCTCCTTATTCCGACCGTGCGCCCCCCCGCCGGTCCCCCCTTGCGCCCCTCTCTCCTTGCCCCCGTGCCCCCTTTGCACGCCCCCCGGCCCCCGCGCCTTCTCCCCCGTGCTCCCCCCCCGCTCTCCTCGGGCCCCTCTACCCTCATTCCGACCGTGCGCCCACCCGCCGCCCCTCCATTGCGCGCCTCTCTCCTTGCCCCTTGTGCTCCCTCCACGCACCCCCCCCGCCCTTCTCCTCCGTGCTCCCCCCGCCGTCCCCGAGCCCCCCCCAGCCTCCTTATTCCGATCGTGAGCCCCCCCTTTCCCTTTTCCCCCCGCTCTCCCCGCGCCTCCTCCTCTTCTCGGGCCATGTCCTCCTCCTCTCCCTCCCCGCCGCCCCGCGCCCTCTCCCCCGTTTCCCCCCCCACCCCCCCCAGCTCCTTCTCCTTTTTCCGACCGTGCGCTCCCCCCCTCCCCTCCACTCGTGCGCCCCTCTCTCCTTTGCCCTGGTGTTCCCTCCTCACGCCCCCATCGGCCCCGCGCCTCTCTCCGTCGCGCCCGCCCCCCCGCTCCCGCACCCTGAGCCCCCCCCCCCATTCCTGATTCGAACCGTGCGCCCCCCCCTCTCCCCCCGCCCCCCTCTGCGCTTCCATGCTCTTCCCCTGGCCCTCTTCGCACCCCCCCCGCGCCCTCGCGCCCAGTTCCACCGTGGTTCCCCGCCGCCCCGGGCCCCCCCCCCCCTTACTCCAACCGTGCACCTGCCCCCCTGCCCCTCCCATTCGCCCCGCCCCCTTCGCCCTGTCGGCACTTTCGTGGGCTCCTGGGAGGCCCAGCGGAGTGGGGGTGACACGCAGATCGCGTCGGGACCTCGCGGCGCCCTGCGGGGGGAGCTGCCAACTGCGCAACTGTCGGCACTTTCGTGGGCTCCTGGGAGGCCCAGCGGAGTGTGGGGGTGACACGCAGATCGCGTCGGGACCTCGCGGCTCCCTGCGCTCCACCCGCCTTTCCCGAGCCCCCCTCCCCTTATTCCAACCGTGCGCCCCTCCTCTCCCGCTCCTCCCCTGCGCCCCTCCCCCGTTGCACCCGCGCCCCCCTCGCGCTCCCCGGGCTCCTGCGCCTGCTCCTCCGTGCGCCGCCCCCCCCGGGCCCCCCTCCCGTTATTCCGACCGAGCGCCCGCCCCCCGCCCCTCCCTTCCACGCTCCCACCGTCCTCCCCGGGCCCCCCTCTCGTTATTCCGACCGTGCGCCCTCCCCCCGCTCCTCCCCTGCGCCCCCCTCCTCTCGCCTCCGTGCCCCCCGCCTTCCCCGGGCCCCCCTGGCCTGATTCCGACCGTGGCGTCCTCCCCGCTCACTCCCTGGCCCTCTTGCCTTGCCCGGGCCCCCCCCATTCTTCCCGGGCTCCGCGCCGTTCCCCGTGCTTCCACCGCCCTTCCCGGGCTCCCCGTCCATTATGCCAACCGTGGGCCGCCCCCCTCGCTGGTTCCCGGGCCCGATGCCTGTTTCCTCCGTGCCCCCCGTTTGCTCGGATGCCCTTTCCCCTTATTTCGACCGTGCGCCCTCCCCCCGCCCCTCCCCTGCGCCATTCTCCCGATGCCCCCGCGCCCCCCCCACTCCCCCCGGGCCCCCCCGCCCTGTCCCCCGTGCTCCCCCCGCCTCCCATGGGCCCCCCTTTATTCCAACCGTGCGCCCCCCTCCACCGCTCCTCCCCTTCGCTTGTCTCCTCTTGCCCCCGTGCTCCCTCCACGCTTCCCGGGCCCCCGCGCCTTCTCCTCCGCGCTCCCCCCGCCGTCCCCGAGCCCGCCCCCCCCCCCCCCCCCCCCCCCCCCCCCCCCCCCCCCCCCCCCCCCCCCCCCCCCCATATTCCGACGTGCGCTCTCCTCCCCCACGTTCCTCCCTCGTGCTCCCACCCGCCCCTCCCCGGTATAACCCCTTCCCCTTATTCCGACCGTGCGCCTTCCCCCCGCTCTTCCCCTGCGCCTTTCCCCTGTGCCCCTTTTTCCCTGAGGCCCCCTCCCGTTATTCCGACCGTGGCGCCCTCCCCCGCCCTTCCCCTGCCGCCCTCTCCCGTGCCCAGGTGCTCCCCCCATTCTCCGGGCCCTCCGGCGCGCTTCTCCACCCGTGCATCCCCCGCCCTCCCCGGGCCCCCCTCCCTTATTCCGACCGTGCGCCCCCTCCCCCCGCTCCTCCCCTGTACCCCCCTTCCCTTTGCCTTATAAGTGCTTCCCTGCGCGCCCCCACCCTCTCCGGGCTTCCGCGCCTTCTCCCTCGTGCTCCACCCGCCTTCCCCGGGCCCCCCTCCCCTTATTCCGATCGTGCGCCCTCTCCCCGCTCCTTCCCTGCGCCCCCCTCCCCTGGCCCCCGTGCTTCCCCCACCCTCTCCGAGCTTCCGCGCATGCTCCCTCGTGCACCCCCCGCCTTCCCCGGGCCCCCCTCGCGCCTTGTTCCGACCGTGCGCCCTCCCCCCGCTCCTCCCCTGCGCCCATCTACCCCGCGTGCCCCCCCCCACTCTTCCCGGGCCTCCGCGCCTTCTCCCCCGTGCCCCCCTCCCGTTTTTCGCGCTTCGCGTATCCCAACCAGCCCATCCCAAAGCAGCCGCCAGGCGAGTTGCCTTGCCGAGG